TATTACCCTGGACCGACCTTAGAGCCTGTTGGAAACAGAAAATGTTAAAGATTTTTACGCATGAGGCTACTCATCGGGAGCGCACAAAGGAAAATAGTATTTCGATAATTACTTCACTGATGTACCTTACCCCTGGTTCAACAAGATTAAGCTCCATCGGAAGCCCATCGTCACGCTCAACAGACTTCTAGCCGGGCACTACTGCCTGAAAACCCACCTCCATAGACTGAATATTGTTCCCGACGCGATTTGCGACTGCGGAGAAAACACTGAATCTCCCAATCACATCTTATGGCAATGCAAACGATTTGATGCGGCACGAGAAGACATGTTCAGGAACCCGATTAAGCGCAATGAATACCCCCCGTACAAGATCGAACCCCTCCTCAGGGACGTGGACTCTGGGATTATTGCATCGATTGCTCGCTACCTAACCCGCATCGACGTCACCATTTAATGAACATACCTTAGTCCTTGCTATATAAATTAGATACAAACCGTATCTACTCCACCAACAACTGTCTCCACCTAGCCACCTATTTCAGTTTAGACCTACTCATCAGCATGCTATAAACCTGTTTCATATTAAGCCTACTTGTAAACTCAATGTAAATATGCCTTAACTCTGAACCTATTTGTAAGCATGTTACAAATTCTAACTTAAGCTTGTAATTGGCAGAATGGGCCCTCCAGCCCGACGCCAAACTCTTATATCTCACAATAAAAAAAATCCTGTTACACTGATTCATGTCCATGGTTTATGCTGACCGTCTTACAGTGTATACAGTGTAGGAGTACAACGCACGCAGTAACAGGCGCAAAACACAACGCAGAACATGATACACAAATATATGTAGGAAGAGTGCTCACATAAAAGAGGATTGGCGTAATTCGCGTGTTTGAGTGCGACGTAGGAAGAATCCTGAAAAGTTTTATTATTTAGAATTCATCGTCCTATATGACGAATACAGATTTTAGTCATTTTAGAATGAAGACATTATGGCATGCAGTACAATAGTTTAACGTGCATATAGACACCTGAAGATGGCACATAAGTGCCGAAACATGTAGTGTGGAAGTGAAGAATAAGGTGAAAAAGTGTATATACTGTAAGACGGTCAGCATAAACCATGGACATGGCGGTAAGGTTGTCAGCCTTGCGCGCCGGCCGCGCTTTACTCCCCAGAAAAAGTATTTAATTAATTTCTGGTACTCATTTCTGTTAAAGGCTGAGTCGACCTCAGGGCCATATTGTGGCTGGAAATATTAGGTCAATTGAAAAAAAATCCAATTATCTCATCGGGACTTGAACCCGCGACCTTCCAGATTGTAGAATAGTGCCTCAACCAACTACGCTACTGCGTAAGTATTAAAAAGGTAAATTTCTTCCTGTGCTTAACTAATTAAACACTATGCCATGAAAGCGTATGGGGGAGTGGATGTATAGATCCATGTTTTCTTGACCTCAGCACTAGTTCGAGGCGAGTGGTCAGCTTCGTGCCCTGGCCGCTTTACCCCCGTGGAAATAGCCGACGATACCCATTTCATAGGAGGTTGAGTGGGCCACAGAACCGATCTGGACATGGAGAAGTAAAAATTCTGGCCTCCGCCGGGACTCGAACTCCGATCCCTCGGTCGTTCGGCCCGTAGCTAGTCACTATACCGACTGCGCTAGCCCGGCCCTCATACAATACAGTGTAGTACATTACGATTTCCAATTCTGTTGCAATATTTTAAGCTGAGAATGACACAATTCCAGCGTTCTTTTGACGGTTGAACTTCGAATCTACGCATGTGGAAAAAAAAAAAAAAAAAAAAAAATTCAAGCAGGAACTGTGACGTGAGTATTTATCAAGTACTTTAATTATATACTGTATTCGCAAAACTATGTAAACTGTTAGGTATCACAATGTATTATGTTTATCCCACCAATATAAAACACGTACAATTGATATATTATCTTAACTTTCATTTAGTCAGAATTGACACTTTTTCTGAACGTGTTTCATGAACCATAAGAGAGTCACATTCATATGCAGAATGACGTAGATGATATAACAGGGACGGCCAATAACGACCACATATGCATTTCGTGGGTCACATAAATTTATCGATATAAAGCCGTAAATACAGGGTCATTGATAAAGAATGCCAGGATTATAGAAATCTATCATTCAAAAAGTGTTCATGTCGAAATGATTCCAGTTTTAAAATTTAAAAAAGTGGATCTGCTTCCTTTATCTGATATAAAAATTGAAATTATCTTATTCATTTAAGCCCCTTCGACATAGTTATTTATTGAAAATTTCTCTGTCTAAAAGATCAAAGTGAATAGGAATATTCCCATTTTTTATATCTGATCACAGAAGCAGATCCAGCCTCCGAAACGTGGTATAATTTTAAATTTGACTATGATAGTGGACAATATCCAACATAATCTCATTATTATTATTTAAAATATCATTAAACACACTGTTACATTTCGGTTTGTTGTTAACGTATTTTATTACCGCGAAAATGTTTCGAAGTAATGTTGGCCCTTATTATATATGCAGGCCGCCATTTTGCCCAACCCTACCTTATTATGACGTATATAAAAATATATAACGTCATTTGACCGCACAGATAAATGCTGATCATGAAATAAGTCTATTCCTTCGAAGTACGACAGTTCATGAGAGCAGCAGGACGACAACAGCGATATCGCATTTAAAGAGAAGTGGTCCACGTAACGACACGAGATAAACCTGATCATATATATATTCACTTAGAATCAGTGAAACCTCCAGTATTAGTGAGCTACAAGCTGATAAGGGATGGAACAATTAGGAACATTCGTGTTTGTAGTGATTCCACTCCTTGCTTCGGGTAAGCTACAAAGATATAACAGATACATTCTTTACGAGGGGGAAATTTTCCGACACTGTTAATATATAGAAGTTTCCAAACTGTGGTTCAGGAACCGTGAACATTTTATGCGGCTCGCAGAAAAAAAATATACTAGTAAATCCATTTATTTAAAAAATTGATTAAGTATTAAGCAAAATCGGCCGTGTGAAAATCACGTACCTGCGACATCCAATTCACGACATTTTGCGGCTCACCAACCTCTGAAAATTATTGTATATGGCTTCGATTTTCATTAAGTTTGGTCATTCCTGCTATATAGCCTGCCGGAAACCACGAAAAAGCTCATAACAGCTGGTGTTTCGACCGAGATCCGAAACGAAAATCTCCCGGAACACCAATGTGTTCGGTATAGCCATAAAGAAAAGTAACGGTATCCCTGTAACAGGCCGTAGAGGCTTGTAGGTTTGTGAGACGTCGAGGCTCCAACATTTTCTAGACAATCGGTTCACAGATATCTGTGAGGTTGTCAGCCTTACGCGCCCGCCGCACTTTACACCCAGAAAGAATCGTGATACTGATTTCTGTTAGAGGCTGAGTCGACCCCAGGGCCATAGTGCGGCTGGAAGGATTAGGTCAATTGAAAAATTCAGTAATTTCATTGAGAATCCAACCCACGACATTCCGGCTTGTAGCATAGTGCCCCAATCAACTACGCTACCGCGTTCCCTCTGTGTAGCCATGCTGATACAGTGTTTTTGACTCAGGATAGCCTCAGAAAGAGCCTCCTGAAGTTACGATATAAGTGTTACTCTCTCCGAAGAGAGTCTGTTCTTCGTATTTAGATTTAGGACGTACATTCCAATCTAAAGAGAAAATTTATTCAACGCAATTGAAAAAAATAGTTGTTAAATAAACTAAGTACTGTGAAAACAAAAAGGACCATATACAAGGTGTTCCAAAGAGAATTCTGGAATTTCACGGTACACATTCTACTGATTACGCACAAACTGCAATCAAAGCTGCTATCCATTAAGTATAGTTCAGATAGACTTGAAATGATTCTGACAATGGTGTATGCTGTACAGAAATATAAGGTACTTATTTTGGATTGTTTTGGGCTTCATCCATCGTCTGGTATGTAAAAGACAAAAGACCACAACGTTTCGGAGACTGCATCTGTCTCCGTTTTCAGGTGGGTAGGGTAGGATAAACCTACTCAGTTGGGCCCCTTAGAAAGAGCTAGTCTCAATCACTGGACAGTGTTTTGTGGTTTTTTGTCTTATATATAAAAGACGATGGATATGGTCAAAAATAAGCCTTATAGTTCTGTATAGTTCAGATGTTTACCGTGCACGTAACAATGTTGTCACATCTGTTTTCTTTCTGAGATGCAGGTGTTTGAAATCCGGGCATTATTTTTGGTACACCATGTATTTTTATTCTTATTCTAAATGTTTACGCTGCATCCAACTAGTTATGGTTACTAAAGCCGTTCTTAAGGCGCGTCCACATTACTCATGCTAGTGCTCCTCGGGAGACTCGTCTGGCTTCTACATGTGCCCGTAAATCTTCGTCCACACTACTTCAATTGCTCGCCAGGCTTCGGCGCGTGAGGATCCGTATATTTACTCGTAGTGTGTATAGGCTCTAGTCGTATTTTAATTTATTGGCTATAGTTTTTAAATTAAAAATTTAAAATTTGCTTGTCTCGTGACTTGTCATATCGTCCACATTACTCGCGAGCGTAGCGAGTCACATGAGCACGAGTAATGTGGACGCGCCTTTACATTAAACATGTCTTAAAAATATGGTTGGACGAAAGATAATATTTAATTTCGAGACCCAGTTCTATGCTATTTGAATTCCTCATATTTCGTTATCAAATCCAAATTAAGTTGCTCCTATCCGCAATTTCAGTTTCAGGGAGCGCCTTACCTAGGATTTCAGGAGGGACAGAGACCCGAATCGGAGAATTTCCTTATCAGGTGAGTCTCAAGAGCCTTACAGTTGATACGTAATTTTATTCGATGAAACAGATTCACGGAAAATGAAAAAAAAAAAAAGTTTCAGTTTAACACTAATGTCACACAAAGTGACTGGTATAGGGAATGGACGATAGACGAATCAGGGTACGATTCGAGGCACGGAAATACTTTTCTTCTCAAAAACTCTGCTCTTGGGCCTATCTAGGGTCAGTTTAGTTCATAGAGAGGCTTCATTGCACAGAGGTAAAGCTGCAATAAGGAGAAGGTGTCCGAGCAAGGCCACCTAGTAAAAACGTAGAGCTGTCCCTATAACAGGCGGTTGAGGCCCGTAAAGTTGTGAGACGTCGAGGGTTCCATATTTTCTAGGACATTCAGATCACAGATGGCGGTAAGGTTATCAGCTTTACGCGCTAGCCGCACCTCTGCCCCCAGGAAGATTCCTGGTACTCATTTCTGTTAGAGGCTGAGTCGACTCCAGTGACATAGTGCGGCGGGAAGGATTAGGTCAATTGAAAAATCAAATGACCTCATCGGGAATCGAACCCGCAACTTTATGGCTTATAGCACCACGCCATCTGTGAACCGATTGTCTAGAAAATGTGGGAGCCTCAGTATATCACAAATCTATGGGCCTCCACGGTCTGTTACAGGGACAAAATGTAGCTAGACTAGTTAGATAAGCGACAAAAAAAGCTTCAATAACAGATGTCTCTGCTTTCATTGCAGGTGGCCATAGTCAAGAGCAAGACACTAACGCTCCGCTGTGCGGGAGCTCTTGTCAGAGACAACTATGTCCTTACGTCTGCGTTTTGCGCCCATCTGTAAGTTTTATATGGACCAGTGTTTCCTTAGTGGAGTTACACGGAAACCCGGGCTTCCACAGGAAAATTCCTTTAGCGTAAACCCTCGTTAAAAGGGACTAATAAGGAGACATTCATTCATCAATGACTACAATCTCTTGCTGGGCCTTGACCGATTTTTCAGTTTTGTAATCACATACGTGTACACAGTCGGTAGGTATCCTTAGACGGGGATCAGCTCGTCGCAAGACCCCTACCTAAACACAGAATAAACGCACACAGACATCCATGCCTCTAATGGGATTCGAACCCACGATCCCAGTGTTAGAGCGGGCGAAGAGAATTCATGCCTTAGACCACGCGGCCAATTTGATCGGCAATATGAGGACAGGATTTACGTTATCGCCAATACAATTTGTAACTGTGTGATGGTGTATTTACGGAAGTACACTATAGGATACGTAGCCAAAAAGAAATAACCACAGGAACACACAATGTCACAATGTGATTATACAGAATGTCCCAGAAGGAAAGGTGAATATCCTGGGAGGTCATAGTATCGGTCATTCTAAGCAAAATATGTTGTATGTACATGTGTGCTATCCCGAACGGTTTCCGAGATAGAGCTATATCACTGTGCAGTTCCAAAACTGTTAATAAGAAAGAGACATTACGTACTGTTTCTAATACCGGTATTTACTGTTCAGGTGACAAAGTTGGTACGGTTTACCTAGTATAATATATTTCCGAGAATTCTACCGTCAACATAAATGCACTTTGTAACTCGTGTGAGGACATGGCGCGTTGCTCATCTGTACAGTGTACAGTGAAATAGCTCTGTCTCGGTGCAACTCGTGTGAGGACATGATGTGTTGCTCGTCTGTACAGTGTAGTGTCCTGTACAGTGAAATAGCTCTATCTCGGTGCAACTCGTGTGAGGACATGGCGTGTTGCTCGTCTGTACAGTGTACATCAGCCATGTCAAACATGCGGCCCGCGGGCCGCATGCAGCCCCCATAGCCCCAAAGTGCCGCCCCTCAACTTTTAGAGCTAATTGATATTAAAATCAATATTAAAATTTTAGTAGAAATTTTTTTGTAAAGACAGTTTCCCGACAGACCAGAAGATAAGAAGTCTCACGCAGACATAAATTAGCAGGCTGCAGGAAAAGTGATTCTGAGAATTGCAGAAGGGTTTGTCCAACTAACGGTTTGTAAAGTTCGTGAAGGACAAACTACTGTATTTCAGAAGGGTAATGCACTAAAATTCGCACAGCCTCACCACCCCAAGTATTTCTAAGAATCCCTTTTGGAGGCGTAGTAAGAATGCAAGGAGGGTGGTAACTGACAGACAAGTGCAAGGGATTTCTACCTTCAAAACTAGCTTGCAACCCCCAGCCATTGTCTAATGGGCTGCCAGCAAACTTTCACTTTTATGACCATTGAGACAAGATACACCTTCCTACTAGTCCGGTAGTCTCTTGTACATTGTCATTCAGTTCTTTTCCACACATCGACAGGTGCTGATGTTACATTGTGATGAACGTATAAAGGTTATAATTAAACATTAAATTATCAACTACGGGTTTTCTTGTATATGTACATTAACTTTTCAAAGGACAATGTCGCTTTCAAAAAATTGAAGTAGCAAAAAAAGAAATATTGAAAGTGAGCGCCGTGTTTTTCAAGAAAAATGAGAAATCGCTTATTTCTGTTGTGCAATAGAAAGTAAAATTACATGTTTGATTCGTGAACAAAATATAAGTGTTCCACTTTAGGTAATTATATTGAAATTATTTCTAAATAATAAATAGAATTAATTTTCCTTGTATCAAAATCTAATGTATATTTATATTTTGAAGTGCGGCCCTAGACTATTTTTATAGGGCTGAGGTGGCTCTCTGTACAAGCTGAGTTTGACATGCCTGGTGTACAGTGTACTGTGCACTGAAACAGCTCTATCTCGGAAACCGTTCGGAATAGGACACATGTACATATACACTTTCTGCTTAGAGTGACCGATAGTATCTCACCAAGAATATTTACCTTCCTCCCGGGACATTCTGTATAAATGTTTTTATATTGGCTTCCTATTTATTTTAAATAGTTTTCTAACTACAAACTCTTCAGAGTGCCTCAACATCTCTAAAAACTCGTAGGTTTGGTTGTTATGTCCGGTTCCGTTATAACGCTGTTTCATTCTACTATATAAAAATTATGAATTGTAGATATGTGACATTAATTTTATGTTTAATCGTTCACTTCACGTGAAATGTGATTTTTGTGTCTAAATATGTAGAATTAAATAATATGTTGATATCATATCATTGTTGAACGTTTATTTATTATTATCCTCATTTATCTATGGTCTGGTTTTTTAGGAACATACATAAGAACTTTATTAGTGGTTCCGTAAATATTCTACGGTTGTTAAAGGGTTCCGTGGCAAAATTAAACTTGGAAACTTTGCTGTAAACAATTTTGTTTTCCTTTGTTTATTTTTCTTCTTCATTTCTCCATATATATTTTCCTTACTGTCTTTCCTCCCTCTCCCACTAGTCTCCTGGTTCCTTATCATTTCTTCCATTTTACTCCATTTTCCTTTTCTTACATCAGAAAAACTAGTCTTCTTTCTTCTGCCCCATTCAGTATTCACCAAATGTAAAGGTATTAGTAGAGCTACAGATATTGATGAGCTCCACATTGCATACCGCGAAGGGCGTACTCAATAAAGTGGCTAGACAACGGACTGGACGACCGAGTTCGATTCCGGGCGGATTTCTCTCTTCATAATCGCGTCCGGACCGTTTTGGGCCCCTAGCCATTCAGCTATCCGATTGGTACCGGTAGCTATTTCTCCGGCGGTAAAGCGGTGGCATGTGAGAATGGACTGACACATTCGACTTTCAAAATTATGAATACGTGGAGCTATTCCTCCATCTCATGTTACATAATTAGGCAGAGGAACAAATTTACCTCCTTCACATTTATATTTTATATATTCTTCTTGTGCTAACTTAAGGACTGAGTCATGACCCGTTCGAAGACTAAACAAATAGTTGTGTTTATCTTCTTCTTGGACACATAATGTCCTGTCTTCCAATATGGTGGTAAAATATGCTTGCAATGCTAAACGTTCAGGAAGCGTCTTTCTCTATAACTATGCTGTTTCGTTTTGTATTGCTATATCTCTTCCACCGTTATTTATGTTCACAGTTGTTTCCTTACATCAGTACTTCTTAGATTATTCGTGAGTGGCGCACCTAACGGTGGTCGCAGGAACCTCACTTCACGTGTTTCTCTTCCCATCGTCACTACACATTTTATGTGCCGGGTTCATTTGTTGTGCAATGAGCAATTTAGTAAAGGTAAAGCTCACAGATGGCGGTGAGGTTGTCAGCCTTATGCGCAGGCCGCCCTTTACGCCGCATGAAAATTCCTGGTACTCATTTCTGTTAGAGGCTGAGTCTACCCCAGGGCCATAGTGTGGCTGGAAGCCTTACGACATTGAGAAATCAAATGACCTCATCGGGATTCGACCCCGCGACCTTCTGGCTTATAGCACAATGTTTCAACCGACTACGCTACCGCGTGCCCAGAAACGTAATGTTTGATTCACATCTTTGTTCCCAGAGGAACTGCCTCTGAAACACAAGTCCTGGTTGGCAACAATAACCTGACGCACGAAACCCCGTCTCAACTTCTCGACGTGGAGGTCATCCGCGCTCACGAGGACTATAACATAGATGGCAGGATAAACGATCTGGCTATCCTGAAGGTTGGTATCTAAATTTCAGTACTGACTCCAGGGTTTCAGTTTTCAAAAGTTAGTAGTCACTGAGCTCACCACAAAATTTCCCCATGTTTATGAATTCCAAAGTTTCCACAAGTAAGAAACGTACTATTCTCAGTGACGTAATTCCGTTCATTTTTGTAGAAATTTATTGACGTTTCGGCGGAACGCATTGTCTCCAACTTCAGGGTCGAAGAATATGTCGAGAAGAAAAAAGCAAAGGGCAAGCAGTGTGGCCTTATTTGTTGCTTGCTTCGCTGATTTAATGGACCGTCTTTGTGGTCTAGTGGTCAGACCTCCTGGCTACAGATCCAGAGATCCTGGGTTTGATTCCCGGCGCTGCCAGATTTTCTGTGAGGTAATACGTCTGAAACGGGGTCCACTCAGCCTCGTGAGGATAATTGAGGAGCTATTTCAAGGAAATAGCGGCTCCGGCCTAGAAAACCGAGATTAACGGCCGTGGGGATCCGTTGCGCTGACCACGTGACACCCTCTATCAGCAAAAGTTGGCATTAACTTAGCCGACAAGCGGTGGTAGCTCGGTGGGTACGGTTTGCTTACGGACTACAGAAAACGGATTTTTTTGGGCTTATACAACGACCCTGAAGAATGAGGCAATTAGTTCTTCTGAAACACCCGTAAACATCTACAAGACTATACGGCTTCATATCACAGAAGATAATGTTTTAAAAAATTAAGGATTTGAGAGCCCCAAGTCTCCAACTTCATACCAAATTTAAAGCCCTCCGGTAATGATCTTTTGTTACTTTGTCCTTTGTCCATTATTCGATTATATCAACCTTTCGTGTGATACGGACGTACATATACGTTCCATGACGGATTAGGTTACTTTATTACATCCTTTGTCAATTCTTTATTCTAAATTGGCAAAAAAAAAATGTCAGAACCGAAAGGATTAATATTACTGCACTTCGGTAATTGTCTCTAATTCCGTCTTCAGGAGAAAGGGATAAGAAAAGGGATCACTAGTTTTAAAGTTTCGCTGAGTTTGAGGTATAAAATGGAACCACAGTCATCTTCTGATCCAGCCACGTGAGAGTGACTAAACACGCTGTCCCATAGAAGACATCTTGCTGTCCAGTTTGTAATGGTATTTTAAATGATTAACAATATCACAAAATATGACTCGGGTAGTGCTAGTTACCATTCAGTCCAGAAACTTTTGTCTTCTCGTCTGCTGTCCAAAAACATAAAAACTAAAATATACAATACTGTAATCTTGCCTGTGGTTCTATATGGCTCGGAAACTTGGATTCTGACATTAAGGGAGGACCATAGACTGAGGGTGTTTGAGAACAGGGTACTGAGGAGAATATTTGGACCGAAGAGAGATCAAGTGACAGGAGGTTGGAGAAAACTGCATAATGAGGAGCTTCATAACTTGTACTCTTCTCCAAATATAATTAGAATGATCAAGTCAAGTAGGATGAGTTGAGCAGGGCAGGTATCATAACTTGTACAGAAGAGGAATGCATATAGGATATTGATGGGAAAGTCAGAAGGAAAGAGGCCACTGGGAAGGCCAAGGCGTAGGTGGGTGGACAATATTAAAATGGGTCTTAGAGAGATATGATGGGATGGATTGGATTGATCTGACTCAAGAGTGGAGGGCTCTTGTGAACACGACAATTAACCTTCGGGTTCCGTAAAATGCTGGGAAGTTCTTGAGTAGCTGCAGAATTGGCGGCTTCTCAAGAAGGTCTCATGAGTGAGTGATGACGTCATTTAAGTGTTGTGTACTTAAGACTGCCAACTGAACTACAACGCTGCACTGAAGACTTCAGATTTCCATGCCGTATTTCTAAACATGTTACGTTCCTTTTGTAGCTGAGAAGTAACGTGAGAATACAGGAAACTGCTGACGCCGTGTCAGTAAGAAGTACTTCCACTGCTGAAGGAACCATTTGTACACTCACAGGATGGGGATCCGATATTTGGGTGAGAACAAAGATTTCGTACTTAAGTACGAATTAGTTAATCACTTATATACATTTTCTTCACTATACGTTGCCTGGTAACGGTTCTCAACTGTGTAGATTCCTCGGCTTCCACCCTCGCCGGCTGGCGACCCTCTCACATCTAACCCAAGACTTTAACTCATCCAACAATTCCTCTGTTGTTGCGTGTGTATCTGTTGCTACGGTCACAAAACAGAGGCATTGCCTAGCAACGGACGTTTTCTCTGGTTTTTCTATCCTGGCTTTCAGCAGACATGTCACACTATATATACAACCTTCAATGCAACTTCACAGGTTGAATCACCACTCAGTCCCTATACATTGACGACAGGAACACACGTAAAGATACTGTCACGTTATTGAGTGAACATAGACGGAGTTTCATTGGTAAATAAATTTATTACACACTTACAGATCCTAACTACAAGTAACTATAGCGATATGCATAATTCACAACAGCACGCACTAAATCTTCTCAGTTTACTGTATCTTCACCGGTCACCTGGTAACGGCTTCCAACGCCGTAGCCTAATCAACTTCCGTATTCACGTCCTTACTGGCCTACGACTGTCTCACATCTAACTAAACTCTAGACTTGTCCTGCTTATAACACATCGGAACGGACCGCAAAGGAAACACTGCTTAAAACAGTTCTATTGTTATGTGCGTGTCTCTTACGGCCATTATCTTGCAACGGCCTTCGTTTAGAGAACCATTATCTAGCAAAGGCTCTTGTATAGCTGCTTATTTCGCGGTTGTTGTCTAGCAACGGATTTACGTTCCACAGTATCATCAACGAAATATTTTATATTCAGCCAATAATCTGTGAAGCTCTATTGAAGACAATATTGTGAACGTTACGTGTACGTTCTGAGAGAAATCTCTGTTTTACATACATGAAACTACTGGAAAGCAGCATCTTATTTCTTTAAGAACATTTTTAATATCATCCTCCCATATATGTTTACCTATCCCAGTGGGCCCTCCTCTTCAGTTTCTCCGATTAAAATTTTCTCTACATTTCTGACTTCTTCCATTAGTGCTACAGCCCCGCCCTCCGCCAATTTATCCTCCTTCAGCGAAGGATTAGACTTTCTTGTTTTTGAACCAACTCGGAGGCTCAGTAGAGTGTCTCAGTGCGAACATAACAAGCCGAAATTCGAGCACGGATTACGCTTCATCCGAAGCAAATGTTTCGCGAGCTGGCCATGTCATTGCGGGAGTTAGTCAACTGACTCATTTAAGTTCGTTCACCTTCATTTTGGGTGGTATTCTGAATTTCAATTCCATAAAATTAATGTTGAGAGCCTGGATAGCGCAGTCGGTATAGCGACTGGCTACGGCCTGGACAACCGAGGGGTCGGAGTTTGACTCCCGGTAGTGTCAAGGGTTCTCATTTCTCCATGAAGTCCAAACCGGCTCTGGGGTCCACCCAACTTCGTCTCCAATGGGTATCGGGAGCTCTTCCCCTGGGGGTAATGACGTCGGGACATGAACCTCGCCCCTCACCTCCAGCTAACACCGAGATAAAAAATAATTATTCATACATCCACTCTCCCCATACGCCTTGATGGCGTAGCATTTAATTAGTGAAGCACAGGGAAACTTCACTAGTTTTAAAATTAATGTTACAGAATGGTCAGTCGTTCCCTGTTCTTCGGACCCTGAACTTGTCCATCGTGAACAACGAATACTGTACGACACAACTCGGACAGACTATTGCGTCTGCGCAGATATGTGCCGTTGGAAGCCAAGAAAATAACGCATGCTTCGTAAGTATTAAAAATACTTGCTACATCCTGTTTAAGACATGACTTACGGTGGTCAGAGTTCCTGGTTACAGATCCAGAGGTCCCGGGTTCGATTCCCGGCGCTACCAGATTTTCTGAGAAGTAGTGGGTCTGGAACGAGATCCACTCAGCCTCGTGAGGATAACTGAGGAGGTATTTCAAGGAAATAGCGGCCCCGGTCTAGAAAACCGAAAGTAATGACCGTGGGAATATTTTATTGTAGAAAAAATATTGTAAATACAAAAAGGCCTAGGCAATGCCTATCCGGCCTTCTGCGGCACATTCTTGTAACATCTTATTCTATCTTAGCGGTAACCCCGCGATTCTTAATATAGATCTTAACTTAAATATGAGAGTACACTGTTCATAATCAGTAGAGTTGCTTATTTTTTTCTTACATGGCGCTTCGTTGCGCTGACCATGTGACACCCTCTTTCCGCTAAAGTTGGCACTAACTTCGCCGATAAGCGCCGATCGCTCGGTCGGTATAGTTTACTTGTGGACTAAAGCCACGGAGTTTGTTATTTGTGTTTGTTAAGTTGGCAAGTCGTGCCTTGAACAAGTAATCTCAAAGAAGGAAAAAACTGCTTGTTCAACAGGATGCAGAGTATGGCGATTTTTGTTCCAACCGTATTGTTGAAAAAAATACTCCACTAATTCCCTAACGATGACGTAACTATCTCCGTCTCCGTCTTATGATTACGTACGCTAAAAGATGATTAGACACGCTTTATTGCAGATTCTTCCTCGGTGTGAGGGTCGTCAGGCGTGTAAGGCTGACAACCTCACCGCCATCTGTGAGCCGTGTGTCTGGAAAATGTGAGAGCCTCGACGTCTCACTGGTAGCTTTACCTTTTACCTGACAGCATCGCACGTCCTCATTTCTTCATTCATTGATACAGGACGGGGCACGCGGTAGAGTACTTGGTTGAGGCACTATGTTAGAAGATGAAAATTCGCGGGTTCGATTCCCGATGTCATTGGATTTTTTAAATTGAGATAATCCTTCCAGCCGTTCTATGGCCCTGAGGTCGACTCAGCCTCTGACAGAAATGAGTACCAGGAATCTTCCTGGTGGAGGTATAGGGCGGCCAGCGAGTAAGGCTGACAACCTTACCGCAATCTGTAAGCCGACTGTTTAGAAAATGTGGGAGCCTCGACGTCCCACAAACCTGTGGGTCTTCATGGTCTGTTACAGAGTGTTTATCTTTACCTTGATAGAGGAAATTCGCTGAGCAGTCATTAGGAAAATGCTTCGTCACAAAAACTGTTGACTTTATGTTGTAACACAACAAGCCTTTCATTTGATAGCGTTAAGTTGTCACTGTGCTTCGTTAATTATTTGTAAAATTTGTTGCAGCTGGATGAAGGCGACCCGCTGGTGTGTGATGGGGAACTGACAGGAGTAATGTCTCACTCTGTAAACTGCGGCAAGCAGAACAAGCCGAGTGTGTATACTGACCTGGCCAAATATACAGCCTGGATAGAGAAAACGATAAGTGATTTGAGTTCTGCTACAGCCAAAAGCTTCTGCCGTCTCACGATTTTAGCGATGTTGGTGGCAATTCTGACGTTCTGGAACACGAGAACGTAGAGCAAAAAGCTGCAGCAAGTTGCGTCGGATGTTTTTACCGAAAAAGTGCCAGCCTTACCTTCAACAGCGCCGAATCAAAAGACTGAAGAATTCATGAGTAAAATAGTGTATACAGAAACTCCCCAAGAAGTTGAAATATGCATAAGGCAATTCTCTCCAGAGTTTTCTTAATTATGTAGTTCAGATAAACGGCCAAGAGATGTCACACGCTAAGGAAATTCTTTCCAATACTTGACTGAGTAGCTCAGATAAACTGCCAAGAGATGTCACACGCTAAGTAAATTCTTTCCGATACTTGATTGAGAAGTTCAGATGAATTCCTAAAAAATGTTACATGATAAGGTAATTCTTTCTATTACTTGAGTACTTCAGATAAACAGCTAATAGATATTACAAGTTATCGAATTCTGTACTTTTTGTAAATGTCGAATTTTTTTACATTTGAAATTCTGCTTACACTGTTTGCACACAACTGCCTCTTGCTGTGACGAGAAATGAACGAAATGAACTGACAGGGCATCAGATCATGCCTCTACCTATCCCCTGTAGTGCACTGCAACGACGCTTTGCGGCCAGTCCACGAACTTATTGACTGTGGTAGTATTTCTCGACATATCCTCCACCAACACTGATACATTTGTCCCGTCGTTTTGCTGGTACGTCGAAACCCACAGTATGGAAGTGTTTTGACTGTTGTCTCTGCCACTTCCGCAACTGGTCGGGCATCATCTGAGGCTTTCGACCGACCTTGAGAGAATTTCTCGACACAGTTGTGAACCACTTCACACGACAAAAACTACCCACGCAAACGATAAACATTCCTTCATGAATATATTTTGCATTGAGCCACTTTTTCCACAAAAAGGCGCAACAGAATGCTGCTCTTCGGTATTTCACTTCTCAAGCACGGTCGCCATTTTGACTACTGAAACCATCATCTGAACATACTCATGTGTGTCTGCTACCTAGACTATAATGAAGCTGGACTGTGCTGCTACCTAGTGATACACACAGAGAACCTATTACATCCATTACAGCTGTTTTACTTCCATTTGTGACATGTTTACTGACTCTCCCCCGTAATTTATAATTTGTTTTATGTACGTTCATTTTCTCATAATAATTCGAATGTCAAGATGATGTGTTGTATTTGAGGTAATAAATGTGATCGTTACAATCACAGAAGTGACTATGAGCGTAACGTCTCCTGGGTTGTAAAGCCGTATAATTTGGTAGAAGCCAAGTGACATTTAGAAGGGAAGTCGGTAGACTTCTATCAACCTACACGGCGTCAAAACCAAAAAGGTATTACTTCTCATGATGTACTACTTTTTCGTAAATAAAATAATTATGATACTATGGTATCTCCAATTAATGCTATTTCTTTTATTTTCCAACATTTGACCTGATCACTTCACATGTTCTACAACTGGTGCAGTGAAGCCATGCGCATGGAAACCATTCTACGTGCTCCGCTGGAAACGAACTGCATAACCACTTCCATTGAGCTGCTTCCTTCTTGAGAAGGACCTACAGCCAGCTAATGCCGAGGCTGAGAATGGGGGAGCTATACCTCCGCTCCTAGTTAAGTTTTCATGGCGTGGTGCTTACTTAATTAAGCCCGGGGATAACTTTATATTTTAAATCCCATACTCTTACCGTCTCTGTGGTCTAGTGGTCAGAGTTCCTGGCTAAGAATCCAGAGGTCCCGGGTTCGATTCCCGGCGCTATCAGATTCTCTGAGAAGTATGGGTCTGGAACGGGGTTCACTCAGCCTCGTGAGGATAACTGAGGAGATATTTTAAGGAAATAGCGGCTCCGGTCTAGAAAACCGAGATTAACGGTCGTGGGGATTCATTGCGCTGACCATGTGACACCCTCTATCCGCAAAAGTTGGCAACCTGGGGAGGGGGAGGGCAGCGATTTTTGAAAAAGGTCCATAAGATACATTAAATTCATGAACTTCCAAAAATAACAAAGAAAATAGTTTACGTTTCCAATTTTATTTTTTTAATTCAATTTGACTCTATATATATTTTCTTTTATTGCTAGTGGGGTGGGACTAAGCCCCTTGTACTGCGGCCACTTCTGGCCTATTGTACCAGCCCCAGATGATAGGTGAGGGTGATTGTGGAGCAATTGGTGGAATGAAGATTGGCAAGGGAAACCGAAGTACTCGGAGAAAACCTGCCCCAGCGCCACTTTGTCCACCACAAATCCCACTTTACCAGACCCGGGATCGAACCCGGGCCGCCGCGATGGTAAGCCAGCGACTAACCGCTTGAGCCATGGCGCGGCCATGTTTCCAAAATTAGGACGACTTCGAGAAAATAAAGACGCAATCTTCTCGTAGATGAATCTTTAAGTAAAATATCAAAGTGTCATCAAACTGAGGGGGGGAAGTGAAAAGGACTGGAGCACATCGCAGCATCCATTCACTTAGTGACCTTATCATCTCAAGGACATAATACTCTTTGCACTTTGTATCTAGTCGCAGAGACTGTCAGCCTACAGTCGGAGACATCTCTTCTACCGGTCAAGGTCACCATTCAATCGTGTAATACCTCTAAAGCTCTGTTGAAGCTGACCGCAATGGCTACGCTAAGTACTTCGCCCTTTCAAATGCTAGGATCGTGAGTTCGAGCACCATCCGAGGCACGGGTGTATGTCTGTTTTTTCTGTGTTTGTGTTGTCCTGTGTAGGTAGCGGCGTAGCGACGGCCTGATCCCCCGTCGAAGGAGTCATACCAACAGTCTATATGGTCTAAAATGTTGTGATGATTGTATATTAATATAAATATTATGTTTCTGGACATCCATCGTCCTGTTTTTATTCAAAAACATGTTTCGGAGGTCGGGTTCTGTCTCCGTGTTCGGGTAAAACCCACTCAGTTGGGCTCAATCGATAGAGATAGTCTCTATGTCTCTATCTCCGGACACCTGCACCAATAAAAGATAGGATATACAAGCCATGCACAGCACAAAACATCTGCGAGAGTTAAAACGGAACATTATAATATGAAAAATTTCGTAAGTAGGAGTTTCTAATATTTTTAACATTCTGTGTTAGCTCTCGAAGATGGCTTGTGTTGTGCTTGACTTGTATACCTTACTCAAGAATTTCCCAACATTTTATGGAACTTGAAGGTTCATTGTCGTTTTCACAAGAGCTCTCAACTGGTCTCTATCCTGAACCAGATTAATCCAGTCCACATACCCCATTCCTATCTAAGATCCATTTCACTATTATCCAATCATCCATATGTTGGTCTTGCAAGTGGTCTCTTCCCTTCTCCTTTTTCCCATCAGTGTCCTCTTTTCCACATTCATGTTACATTCCTTGCCCATCTCATCTTCCTTGATCATTCTAATTATACTTGACGAAGTTATGAAGCTCCTCATTATACAGTTTTCTCCAACCTCCCGTCACTTCATCTCTCTTCTATCCAAATATTCTCCCCAGAGCCCTGTTCTCAAACACCCTCAGTCTATGTTCCTCCCTTAATGTCAAATGCCAAGTTTCACACCCATACAGAATTATGCGTAAAATTATGGTTTTGTATATTGTAATTTTTACGTTTTTAGATACGTCGCCAGTACAAGAAAGAATATTTTGGACAAGATGCCAAAAATGAGGGTACGGTTTCAAATGTTTAAAGTTCGTACTCTGATATGTCCAGGGCTTGAGGTGGGGCGGGATGCGGCGGGATGGCATCCCGGTTCTTTTCTAAATGGCTTAAAAGCATCCCGTTACTTCTTTGGCAGTAAATGCAATGTACAATGTACGCATGCCATTTAAACTACTGTAATATGTTCGTAGGTCTTAGATGGAACACAGACTATATACATCACTCGGTATATTCTCATAATTTATGTCTATGAATTAAAAGGGGAAAACCATCCCGGTTCTATTTTCATTCCACCTCAAGCACTGGATATGTCCACATAAATTTCCCGTAGAACACTGAACTGAGCCTATGTTATCTGCCATGAAACTAGCGGTTACGCGCACCGAGAGGGAACTGAACTGATTCGTGTTCATGAAGCGAAATTCCTTAAAACCAGGGCATCAACTGTTAAAAATTCAACGTTATTGTTATTTAAGCTTTCGCACTAGCTTTCCCTGTTTTCCCATGCATGCCTTTCCAGTCTTACATCATCGGATAATATGTCGAGGCCGAGGCCGCCTCTGGGGTCTAGTCGTCAGAGTTCCTGGCTACAGATACAGAGGTCCCGGGTTCGATTCCGACGCTACCAGATTTTCTGAGAAGTAGTGGGTCTGAAACGGGTCTACTCTACCTCGTGAGGATAGCTGAGGAGCTATTTGAATGGAAAAGCAACGGCTCCGGTCTAGAAAACCGAGATTAGATCTTTCTAAGAGGCCCAACTGAGTATGTCTTCCTTTCTCACCCGAAGACGGAAACAGATCCAGTTTCCAAAACGTCGTCTGCTCTATCACCTAGAATTCTGCAAGATGGAAAAGTGTAAGAGTTATATGTTTCTCTAAGACAACATAATGCCCTAAACTTCCATAAACGGACTGAAATTTTTCAGTTTGAACACAAATAATCTGCGTGTGACTTATACAGGCTGACCTCACTCTCAGATATTGACAGGCGTGTCTGCAGCGTCGCCGAGGGCTATCAGGCCGATACTGCCTGAAGCCGTAGCAGCAGCAGCCGGGACTTCAGCCGAGCGGTCTAGAGTTCCCTTACGCAACAAGTGAAGAGACATATTATTTTGCTAGTGGGGTGGGACTAAGTACTTTGTACTGCAGCCACTTCTGGCCTATTGTACCAGCCCCAGATGATAGGTGAGGGTGATTGTGGAGCAATTGGTGGAATAAAGACTGGCAGGGGAAACCGAAGTACTCGGAGAAAGCCCTCCTCAGCGCCACTTTGTTCACCACAAATCCCACTTGACCAGAACCGGGATCGAAGCCAGGCCGCCGCGGTGGGAAGCCAGTGACTAACCGCTTGAGCTATGGCGCGGCCTATAAGTTAAAATAAGCGGCCTCCGTAGTCTAGGGGTAACGTTCCCACCTCATGACTGAAGGTACGCGGGTTCAAACCCGGCGGAGGTCGTGGAATTTTTAAGGGCGAAAAAATTCAGGGAACAAGTCCTCCGGGAGGGACTTTAAGCCATGGGTCCCGTGTCGTAGATTTACGGCACGTAAAAGAACCTCATGTCTCTAGGAGACCTCTGAGCTAAATTTAGGCAATTTCACGCCCAAGTAGTTTCCAATGCCTCCGGTAGATGGGGGAGCTTAGGTACCACTGCCAGAGGAGGGACGACCTCACTGACAGAAAGGGACTAGCTATTAGATACCACTGCCAGTAGAAGGCCGAAGGCAGAAAGGGAACGATAGCAAGCGCCAGTACCGGTAGGGTATGGAGACAGTAGAAATTCAAAGGGGGACGCACTATAGATCATGGGTAACCCAACCCCTGAATAGTGAATAACTGAATAAGTTAAAATAACTAAAAATCTTGTGTGTGTCAGTACATGAACATCACGACGGCCTTGTTTTTCTACTGCTGGCATGCAGAATATCTCGTGCAGTTAGCAGTAAGCCCGTCTGTATGATACCGCCCGTTCCGGTGAGGGCCGTGGTAATGCCCGCAGGCAAGCCCTTCTGTATTTTACCACAATACAAAATTAAAATTTAATTAAATGCAGAATTAAAACCACAGAATTTCTGACACTGCGCCGTCTATTTATCAGTCTGAATTTTAATTTATTGCTCCCTTATGAGGTCAAATGAAGTGAAATGCTCTGTGTTGTGTTTCAGGCTATCACTGGAGGCCAGTTTGTGTTTAAGGGGCATCTGACCAGAAGAGTGCGGACTTTTAACAGGACGCGACAACTCCTCGGAGCCGGTTATATCTATGGAAATGTGATTTATCACAAAGCTTGGATAAAAGCAAAAATTTCGTGGCCTGTAGTCCGCAAACGAACTATACCGACCGAGCGACCGCCGCTTGTCGGCGAAGTTAATGCCAATTTTTGAGGATAGAGGGTGTCACGTGGACA